GAAACCAGCATCCGTAAGATACTAGCATTAGGGTTGCGCCAAATAGCTCAATTAATCAGGAAGGAGCCTCGTTTCACGCAAGCGCAGTGTGTTATGCGGCATGTTAGTGTGGCGGTAATGAACTTGACAGGATCTCGGCCAGACGCGAGCTACCGCGCAGGCGCGGCAGTCCAGACAGGTCAGTACAGGCGACGATGAAATCTAAATTGGATTATTCTATGCAACTTCCTCATTCCGCGCTAATTCATCAGTTCCTAGAAATTTATATAACAGGATCACAATTTTTAACGACGTTGAGAGATAACAATAAGAGATTGTAAGCTATTAGAATTGTGCAGGCGGCAGTCGAAGCCTGCCTGGGCAGAGAAAAGCCACGAGAAAGACCTGAGCAAAATACACCCATAATAGTGACATTACTTTATTATTAAACCTTACTATATTTAGGACAGTCGACTACGGTGACCGCGCGGTCTAAGTCAAGAACTGTCTTTCCCTGCTCGAACACACTGGGATCGCGGGTTCGAATCCCAATCGAGGCATAGATGTTTGTGTGTGTGTGTTTATCTGTGTTTGTGATGTCCTGTGTAGGCAACGGCCTTGCGTCGGACTGATCCCCCGTCCAAGGAGTCCTACCGACTGTCTAAGATTAAGAAACTAAACTGAAACGAAGCGTTTCGTGGTTGGCTTATGCTCCAAATCGGAGCTACTAGACTAAATAGATAAATTATCAAGAAAAATCGCTCATAACGAACTGTTACATCATTTTCTGTCAAGGATAACGTCATACTGAACGCTTTGATAGATCCGTTACGGTTTGTACTTTTGGGTGCCAGGGTTCGGCCCCCTGGATTTACGTTCCATTTTTCCATTTAAGTTACAGTTCCTATACTACAGAATCCATCTATTTCATATTAATAATTTTACAATACAATCTTGTTCTTATCTCTACTGATTAACAGTCGCCTATATTTATCTCTATGTCACTTCCGTTCTTTCTTACCGTCCTTCAGCACTTTTATTTATATATATATTATCACGTGTTGGGTGTGTGACACGCGACAAATAACTTCGCGCCGTATCGGATATAGCGAATTTATTGAACACTCGCTCTCACAATTACACAATTCACAATTTCACAAGTACTGCCATCTGCAGTATCACAAATACTTCTCCTGCTGGAGTCACTCCGACAATTGTTAGACTGCAACTGACTGGTAACTCTCTCTCTAGTAACTCACTCAATACTCACTACTGAATGAAGTCAAAGTCAAAGTCACGTTGCGACTGACGGTCAGTCAGTCAGTAAGTCTTGGTGTCGAGCCCCATTTTTGGGCTTATGACCAAATATTAATTATTACCGTTTGACAATTACGGTCTTGTTTCTGTGGGACGCCTTCTCTAAAGAGAGGACGGGTCTGTCTTTTGTATGTGCCGCTGGCCCTTGACAGCGCAGTCTTTCTCGGGTCCGAGTCCCTTGGGACTCGCGACCATATTTTACTGTCTCAGAATTGAGAGTTCCCTTTTCGCCGCCTCCTACGACTCGCAGGGTCACGGTGGAGGTATTCGACCCTGCCTCCACACGGGGTTCACTACTGAATAGTGTTCGCTGCTCCTTATTTAGGCTCAGCACGGACAACACAGAAAACAGTTACGTGATAGGTACCGCTGTTGCGTAACGTAGTGTTTACCTGTACTCCCCTGTTGCGTGAAGCCGTGTTTACAGGCATTGCTGGGGAACGCTGCCGAGAGTTGTTTATTGCTGCATAGCAACCAGCGCGTTTCGGCTCGGCTCGGCTCGGCTCACTTCGGCTCTACTCGGCACGGCACTGAGAAACACAGCTTTCCTTACTGTTGCGTAACCTCGCTTCCACTGCTGCGTAACTTGGAAACCGACCGTTCATCGAAGGTCTGTCATCGTGGTAACTCATTCCCCCTCCCGTTGCCCAGCAACGGTTAGACATGTCACAATATATATTCCTATTTTCCGCGACTGCTCTTTATTCCTGCATCTATGTTCCTCATACCCATTTCTGTATCTATACTCCTACAACAGTTTGTCCAAATTAATGTTACATGCAGAATGAATAAGTATGGGCCATAGCTACGGATTCACACATAACAGAAGAACTATTGATACGATACTCTGAAAAATAACGGAATGAACTGAAGGGTACATCAGCAATTTACGTATTTAAGTAAGCCTATTTCTATGGAGACGAATATTGGACAATAACTTAATTGAGGAGTACTATCTTATGGGATATGACAAAGTATATTCCTGATTATCGTTCCCGAAGTTTCGGAAGAATCTACTACCTCTATCTTCAGGACAGAATACTAAGCCGGGGGTCGATACAGAAGTCCTGATGCTGGGAAACACAGGACATGGACTGGTTCGCTCAAAGCCCTTTGCCCCTCTATATCCGTAACCTTTACATTTTACAATTGTTAAGAGTATTAAGTGTAATTCAGTTGATAAAACACATTATGCCTCTACTGTGATCATGGTCTTCTGGATTATAACGCCGTGTATTCTTGTAGAAGATGACCAACATTTCAGCTTGTGGCCCAGATTTTACTGGCTTCCTGTCTCGACACTGATAATGTAGGCTACACGCTCATCTTCAACTTCGGCAGGCTTGTATGGAACTACACGCATATAGCGTCACAACCCAAACACGTCGAGGTTCCACATTTTGTAGATAATCGGCTCGCAGATGGCGGTGAGGCCGTCAGTCTTAAGTGCCGCCCGCCCTTTACTCCTCAGGAAAATTTCTGGTACTCATTTCTGTTAGAGGTTGACCCCAGGGCAATAGTGCGGCTGGAAGGATTAGGTCAATTGAAAACAATCCAGTGACCTTCCGGCTTGTGGCAGAGTGCTTCAATCATGTGGTAAGAACTGTATGGTCAGGTACATCCGTCTGCAAATCTCTCTTAAATGAAAGTCAGACTTGAAGTCCCAGGATTAAAACAGCAACGAACTGAAAGAAGAGTGTTCCCAAAACACAGTTAATGGTTGTTAGGCTCTATCCGGGAGTAGCACGTGCATATCTGGTCTGGCTACGACGTGTTGCGTAGAGCGTAACTAGAAAAATACAAACGGAATATGCCATTAACGGAGTGAAAGCTACTCAGACTCTGCGTGCATGCTATGTTCAATACTGAAATAGCAGCTGAAACAAAGATAAAGCGAGGTATAAGACGTATTCAAATGGAGTACACCTTATCTCTAAATAGAATCGGAATAGCGATCGGTTATGGATTTGGACGGTAGGGGTTCGATTGTCGGCAGCGACGAGACAGTTTTCTCTTTTCCACAGCGCCCAGACCGGCTCTACGACCCAACCATCCTCATATCCAGTGAGTATCAGGGGGCCCTGTCCATGGTAAAAAGCAGCCGGAGCGTCAATCTGACAGCTAACCTCCATCTAGCGCTGAGGTCAGGAATGGTGGAGCTATATCTCTTATTCGTCTTCATGGTGTAGTGCTTAACTAATTAAGCACATGTAAGGTAAGGTAAGGTAAAAGGTAAAGTTGTCCCTGTGCTTAACTAATTAAGCATTATGCTATGAAGGCGTATGGGGGTGTGGATGTAGAGAACCACATTTTTTCTTGGCCTCGGCACTGGTTGGTGAGCGGTCAGCTTAACGCGCCGGAGAAAGAGCCCCCGGTACCCATTGGATAGGAAGCTGTGTGGCCCCCAGAGCCGTTTTGGACGACGTGAATAAGACAAAAGTTTTTACCGTACCGAGACTAGAACTCCGACCCCTCGGTCGTCCGGCCCTAGGCAGTTTGGTATTAAGTACTATCTAAGCAACCAAATAATTCCATGGTGCTGATTTGTCCTTCGCACAGCTAGTCAGGAAGTTCTAAGAATCAGTAGCACTTTTGAACTTTTAAACTGTCTCAGCATTTGCTTGAAGACAAAGGGAAATCAGAACGACCACAGTCGAGATGGCCTGTCACAGAACGGTTCAGCCAAATGCGCCTAATTCAATCCTTACGGCGCAGAAAACACGTAGCATCTTCAGTGTAACGACCATTTATTTTATGTTGCTTTATGCTACAAGCCGGAAGGTCGCGGGTTCAAGTCCCGATAAGGTCATTGGATTATTTTCAGTTGACCTAATCCTTCAAGCCGCAGTATGGCCCTCGGGTCGACTCAGCCTCTAACAGAAATGAGTACCAGGAATTAATTAAATAATTTTCCTGGGGAGTAAAGCGCGGCTGACAACCTCAGTACCATCTTTGAGCCGATTGTCTAGACAATGTGGGAGCGCCTCAATATCTCACAACCCTATGGGCCTTCAGGGCCTGTTACAGGGATAGCTTTACTTACTTTTTACTTTTTCTTGCTTTTCATTCTAAGAACTACATGATACACACAATTACGAGTATAATGTGTGCATAAAATGTTACACGTGGTAGTACACGGATGTACAAGAGTTACCAAACAACTCAAGTCCTTAACAGTTTTCCTTAACTACTTTCATTGACATGAGTTATTCTTTAAATATAAGTCTATATTTTAAGCGAGGATTCATACAAGAAATAAGTGATTTCATTAAAAGTTTTGAGGTTATCACATGAGTGGTCATGATACTACCTGCTTCATATTGCTCCCTTGTTTGGCTCAGTCTTCTACTCTGAAAATGGAGGCGAGATGTTCCTCCGAAACGTCAGTTGACTTTCAACTGGCTACATGACTTTATATCCCAGATGTTGGAACTCTTCAAATTTTAGTTTAATCAGAGCGTTATTAATTCCCCAATTCTTCAGCTAATATACCGTATATCGCTGAAATTATAGTCTACATAGGCAGATGCAGAGAATGATTTAAGAGAACTGAAAGTGAATAGACGGAGGAAAACGGTAGACAACGGGAAGGAATGGGTATCCATCGAAACGGAGGCCAAGGTTATTTTAGGACGGGAAGGCGAAGGAGTAAGTGCAGTTCATATATTTACAAATATATGTAATTTTCGTCTCATGGTACTTACCAATCTCTAGTAACCTGCTTCAGACGAATGGAGTGGCGTTCTTTCTGCTCATGCTCATTGCAGACGGGACGTAACAGTGGCCATTGCTGACAAGCCACTTGTCCGTTAGACAGTACTGGAAACAAAATGTAATTACTTCGATATTCCATTTCATATGATATTATTATACATATAACGAACTTATGCTCCTTCTATAAGTATAATATAACAAATTGACAGATAATGAGCCATTATAGTATTACAATTATCGTACACTTTTTAATAATATGCAAAATTACAAAAAATAACAAAAATATAAAATGTTTTTGTTTGCTTCATATTTTTTACATGTGCAAAATTAGAAGGAAAAATAGTCAATATTCTTGTTACTGTTTGTAATATTTCATATGTATCGTAGTATGCAGACCCGTTGCTAAGTAATGACTCTATAGACAACAGCCGTTGCTAGGTAATGGCCGCAACAGATTCGTAACGCGCGCCAATGGATTAACTGGGAAGCGGTGTTCTCCACGCGGTCCGTGTGACAGCTACGTGAAGCAATAACAGAAGAGCTGTTGTGAGAGGTTTTCTCTGTCCGGTCCGTGCCGAGGTGTTATATGCAGGAGAGGTCTAGAGCATCTGCTTGCTACATGCTTCACGCTGGTTTCTTTCTTGGTTTATTCTTTGACCCTGATGACGGTGGTGACATGTTCCTCTGAAACTTCGGTCGACGTTCAACGGACTACACGGCGTTATATCCAATAAGACAGAACTATTCATAACCGCCACTGTGTGAACCTCAAGTTATCTCACTTTTCTCATGTCTCTCCCGGTTCCATCAAATCGGTCTAAATCCAAGTATCATGTCTTCCTACTATACCTACTTGAAGCTACACAAACTTAATATTTCTTTTCTCTGCCATGGAGTGAGACTGAGTCCACTCGGCGTTGCGGCCACTATTGGCCTTTTGTATCAGCCCCGAATGATAGATGATGGTGATTGTGGAACGAAGATTGGCAGGAGAAACCGGAGTACTCGGAGAAAACCTGCCCCAGTGCTACTTTGTCCACCACAAATCCCACATGACCAGATCCGAGCTCGAACGCGGGCTGCCGCGGTGGGAATCCGGCGACTAACTGCCTTAGCAGTTAATACTTACTTACTCATGGAGCTGAGCCCTTCTGGAGGAGTCGCCAATTCTGCAGCTACTCCGAAGGTTCATTACAGTGTTCACAAGAGCCCTCCACTGGTCCCTATCCTGAACCAGATCAATCCAAACCATCCCATCCCATCCTGTCTCTCTAAGATCCATTTTTAAATTGTTCACACACATACGTCTTGGTCTTCCCAATGGTCTCTTTCCTTCTGGTAGCAGTTAATACAGCGTCATAGAATAATGAAGGAAGATAAAAAGAACACGGCGAGAAACTTTCACAGCAAACGGACTACATGATGTCAGTTATAATAAGAAGTAACCGAAGTTGCACTTTCATTCAGTTCACAAAGAGATGTGAACTCGTCAGTCCTGCGCAGTGCCTACAAGAACCAGTTTCGTGCAGACAATTATTCAGTCACGGTCTACACCACACTGTTTGGTTTGGCTGCTTTGTTCCCAGCACGCCACAAAGAAACAATACAATCTGCTCAGCCTGAGGTATATACTTGACGGCCACACTTCGAATCCCAGATTGTTAATGCTTACCGACCGAGCAGATTTTGCGTATGTAGGCTCGCACACAATTGATTTTAAATTCGAATACCATCCAGATGGTTTGTTAACTACTGCTTAGGAAGGACTAACAGTTCAGTGCAGCCAATATCGCCAACAACACCAGCTATCCTGACGTACTTTCGTAGTTTTTCTTTAGTCCCTCCGAGAGAATAGACTGACAGTACCTTAAAACTGCGCCATGACCTTTTTTTCCACATATTTCATAATTCAGTGTTCATTATTACCTTAACTAACTAACGCCACGGAGCTGAGGTTTTGAGAATCTGCCAGTCGCTCAGCTACAACATTACCATGTTCACAATAATCCTCCATTGATTCATATTCCGAGCTAGATGAATCCAGTCCATACCACCCCATCCTATTTCTCTAAGATTAATTTTGTTGTAATCCTTCCACCAACGTCTAGGTCTTCCTAGTAATCTCTTTCATACTGGCCTTCCCACCAAAAACCCTATATGCATTCCTCTTCTTTCATATTCGTGTTACATGCCTTGCCCATCTCATATTTACTATTATCCTGCGAATAAATATACGTGTATGTTCATAACATAGTCTATATTTTTTGTTCATCCCTTTCAGACATAGTTATTTTCTGATCTTCCCATTCTGTTCCCCTTACTTCCATAAACTTTTTTTCTATTTTATATCTTCTCTTCCTTAATTTCTTATCCCCCTTCTCCATCTTACTTTTATTTCTCTTGTTTTTTTTTCATTATCTCCACTTTCTGCCCCTCCATTTTAATCTCCTTCTATATCTGTTATCTTTTCCTCTTCTTCTCTCTTCCTCCTTTCTCATATTTCCTTGTCCCTTCATATTATTCTCTTACACCTTCTCTGTTCCTTCCTCAACGGCCCGATACAAGCGACCGCGTTTTCAGGGTCTGAAAGTGCCTTGCGACCCAGGGTTCAAACCAATGAACACAGCAATCACTGGGTCGAATCTGCATTTGTGTTTACAATAGAAGTGTAAATCCAAAATTACGTGACAGAGGAGTAGCATGAAGGATATGTCCATCACAAGCCTGAAGAAAGAAATAAAATATATAACGATTATGGCGGTTTCAATGTCTAAAATGGATCCGACTGACCGTGGAACAATTTCTCCTTTCTTCACGGTTGTGTGACCAAGGAGGCAGGTGGAACAAATTGAAATTAGTGCAAAAGTGACTCTAACATATGTCAAAACGATTTTGTATGACGCAAGTTCGTAACTTGTTACGATGTCATAGCCAACATCAGTTACCAAAATCATTGTATTAATAATATAATAAAGCATAATAATAAAAATAATACGCCTGCGTTTTACTTTGAAGCTAGGGGCTTTATGATGGGCAAATCTGTTTCCAAAAGAGAAGCACAACTCACAAGGTTCTCAAAGGGGCGAGCATTATACTGTAATTCCGGTTCTCTCGTATGTTATACCGTAAAATCTGGCACACAAGTATTAGCCTTTTGGAGGATGTAGAAGATTACTCCGAAATTTTGGTCTTTATCTACCAAACTACACGGAGTCATATCCAAGAAGCTTGTAATAATAGTTTAATTTTTCTTAGGACTGATGGGTTCAGATTCAATTCTGAATTGAAACATAGTTTTTTCTTGTTTGGCTTCTCGGTGTGGGGTGAGACTGAGTCCAATTGGTACGTCGGCCGCTAACTGGCCTGTTGTACCAGCCCCGGATGTTAGATGATGATGAGTGTGGATCAGTCGGTGGAATGAGAACTGGCAGGGGAAACCGAAGTACTCGGAGAAAACCTGACCCAGTGCCACTTTGTCCACCACAAGTCCCACATGACATGACCTGAGCCCTAACCCGGATATCCGCGGTGGAAAGCTGGCGACTAACCGCCTGAGCTATGACACGTCATAAATTTCGAACATAACAGAGGACTACATCAGAAAAAGACGGGAGAATATATACCGTGTGATTATAGAAAAATGACGCGACATTTCACGAAGACAGAATTCAAATAAATAAAACAGACTGCAACGAAATGAAGAGTTTTGTCTTCTGGGATATAACGCCGTGTTGTCTGGTACATCATAGCGACATGAGAACCTCTATTCATGACAACGAAATATTCACAGTAGAGTAGGTTCACTAGTCAAGTATATGTAACATAATGTTTGTTCCAAATATTGTAAAGAAGCAATCAGCACTAATTTTCAACGACCATAAGACAAAGTGGTAAGGGGTGTGTCTAGAGAGGAAATCGGTTCGATTTCCAGCAGGAGTTAGCAGGTGTTTTAAGTTAGGAACTTTGTGCCAGACAAATACCCCGGTAGTACATGTAAACAAACGGTCCATTCCTACACTGAAGAGAGCGGTATCCTAGGTTGTGAGGTTGTGCAGTTCGGAGAAGAGCCCGGCGTTTCGGAGCGACATATCGCTTCAATCTTCATGATTGGGAAAGAAGCCAAGCAAGAAATAAGCAGAAGCAGGTACTTACTGCCGTGAGAACGTCACTCACGGAGCTAAGCCCTTCTTGAGAAGCCGCCAGTTGTGCAGCCACTCAAGAACTCACCAGCATGTTATGGAACCGTGTTCACAAGAGCCCTCCACTGGTTCCTATCCTGAGCAAGATCAATCCAATCCATACCACCAAATCCATTTTAATACTGTCCATCCATCTACATCTTGTTGATCCTAGTGATCTTTTTCCTTCTGGCTTTCCCACCATCTTATATACATTCCTACTCTCCCCTATTCGTGCTACATGTCCTGATAATCTCATTTTCCTTGATTTGATCATTCTAATTATACTTGGAGAAGAGTACAAGTTATGAAGCTCCTCATTATGCAGTTTTCTCCAACCTCCTGTGACTTCATCTCTCTTCGGTCCAAATATTCTCCTCATCACCCTGTTCTCAAACGCTCTCAGTCTATGTTCCTCCCTTAATGTCAGCGACCAAGTTTCACACCCATACAGAATCACAGGCAAAATTACAGTTTTGTAAATTCTAATAATTACACTGATATATTGGGTTTCTGGACTTTATCCATCGTCCTAGTTTTTAAGATAACAAAAACACGACGTTTCGGAAACTGGACTCAATCGTCCAGTGATTGAGGCTAGCTCTTTCTAACGGACCCAACAGAATAGGTGTTTTTCCTTCACCTGAGGACGGAAATAGATCCAGTTTCCGAAACGACGTGTTTTTTTATCTTAAAAACTAGGACGATAGATAAAGTCCAGAAACCCAATATATCAGTGTGTTATACACCATCGTCAGAATCCTATAGTAACTACTTCTAATATTTACGTTTAGAACAGCAGACGAGAAGACAGACGGATCTGAACTGCATTGCAAATGGCATCAAAAACTACCGGAATTTAATTTGACCTGACTCATCATTTGCTTTTGACCTTCGTTCCCACGCATCTGAACTGTGTCGCATTTTCAAAGGATCCATTAGCTGTCCTTACGCCATAATTTTGCCCTGCATTCTGGTGACGAGACACGCAGTCTATGCCGCATCGAGAGATAAACCAAGAATCGTACACCGTATAAACTGTTACAGTTACCATTACCGCCTAATCGTATCATCTTTTGCATTACTGGGTTTCCAGTGTTTCGCACAATGTGGCAAGGTGAAGTGCATAAACAGAAACCTTAAATTCTTCTGGGTTAAGGCAAATTGTTGGGTCCAACGATAGGGAACAAAATGGAGTCAATAAGTTAATCCTAAATACTGATAACCGTGTAGGATATTAGGCGGTGTCATGGCCTACAGAAGATAAAATTGTTCCCGTGCTTAATTAATTACGGAACAGGTCATGAAAACCTGTGAAGGAGTGGAGGTATAACTCCACCATTCTTGGTCTCCGCGCCTGACGGAGATGAGTGGTCAGCTTCACGTCCCTGACGCTTTACCTCCGGCGAAGGCACCCATCAGATAGGAAGCTGGGTGGACACTGCGCAGTAGAGAAAAATTTTTACCCCTACCGGGAACCGAATCCCTGCCGTCCAGTCAAGTCTGTCGGTATACCGACTGAGCTACCCAGGCTCATTTTACTTAGGATTGCTGAGTTTCTGGACTCTGTCCACTGTCTAATAGTCTAGAAGAAGACAATATTTCCGAAATCGAATTTCTTTCAGTTCTCATGTGACTGGGACCACTGACTGAGATTAGCTCTTTCTAATGAACGTAGATTTGGTTTCCGAAACGTCGTACTGTACGATGGATAAGTATAGGAACCCACCAATCCCCAGCATAAGACTAAAATTTTGACGGCAGTGAAAACATCTGATGGACACCTTGAAGATGGAAACAACAACTTATTAGAACGACGCAAATCCAGCCAAAAACAAAACCATGTCACCGCCCAAGAGATAGACTTACATCAGCTACAGGTTGCAGTGGAAGCCTCAACTGGATGTTTCACTTGAGACAGGAAAGCAGGCCGGCTTACACTGGAAACTGTTCACTCCATCCTTGTACCCTGCCTTACAAGATGACTAGAGGCCGAGGCAGTAGCTTTGTGTTACACATCACAAGGCAATTATCTTGCTCTCTGTGGTCGTCACGGTTCATACATAACATCCATTCGGAGCACAATACATCATCAGTTGACAACTGGGATTACTCGGTTTTTTTACTTCTTCCATCGTTTGGTAACCCTCTAGGTCTGCATTCGTGAGGTCCTGGGTTAAAATTCTGTCGGATACATACCGGCTATTCTGACTGAAGTCCTTCGTGGTTTTCTCAGTACTTCCAGGCAAATCTCATAATACTATCTCGATTGTACCACAATCGCACACTCCCAAATTCTTTCATATTCATCATTCAACAGACATCGTAACGCCATGTAGTCCGCTGAAAGCCAACGACGTTTCGAAGGAAAACGTCGTCTCCAACTTCAGGATCAAAGATTAGGCCAAGCAAGAAACCAGCTTGATGTAGGTGGCATCATACTGTTTGTCATACTTGGACGTGTTGCTCCGAAACGTTGGTTGACTGTCAATGGATAGCACGGTATTATATTCCAGAAGAGAGTACACGTCATAACCACCTCTGTGAGAACCTCGCATCCTGCACCCTAACATTCGATGATCTACAGTCCAGATGCTGACCGCGTGTTAACCAGCCCAACTGCAATGTACGAGTATGTTTAGGTTTAGTTATGAGATCACGTAGTCTCGCTTAAGATGGAGCGGATGCCTACAACTTAAGTGTACATCAAAGAAGACAGAGATATATTGTGATGTATAGAACCACTGCTATGCAACGACTCGTTAAAGACATTCCCGCGGGAGCCAACGCGCGCAATAACAGAACGTCTATTGCTGGGGAACGTATCAGTAAACAAGCATAAAACAATACGGGACGATTGGAGTACGCCCCGAGGACAAATAACGAAAAGTTCCTAGGGAGAAGTTAGTTGTTATCAGAAGTTGAGAGAGTTCAATTGAAGAGTTCATTTGAGTGAGTTGTCAAGAAATGGGTCAAGTTCTGGAGATGACAGTCGAAAATGACTGAGAAGAAATGGCAAGAAAGGAATTAGACTGTATAAAAAAGACTTCATGTGTGATTTCAAGTGACAGTGAAACTGTTATAAATCCGTTGCCAGGATACGACTAGTGAAGACTGAAAACCCTAGTGCGTGCATAACGGTGAGTGTATAGTGTGTAAATCAGCAATAGCGCTGTATTGCCTGTAGTCACGTGCTGTATGTATAGGGTGTCAATTAATCCATTAATCCAATCAAAAACTCGTAAGTCACGGTTAATCCCCAGATTGTGATAATAAATTTATACCACTGAGTTCCGAATCTCCACGTGTCCGATACACATTTATTTACTTACGTTTTCTTTAATGAAGCTGCAAGTGTTTCAGTTTATATGGCATCCAACAACTTTACACTACAGAGTCTGATTCTGTGATGATAATGTTAAATAAACTATATATATATATATAATATATAGTATTAACAGCAGGGATAGCTAAGTCGGTACAGCGACTAGCTACGGACTGGGCGACCGAGGGGTCGGAGTTCGAGTCCCGGTAGTGGCAACAATTTTCTCTTCTCTACGTCATCCAAACCGACTCTGGGGTTCACCCAGCCTCCTATCCAATGGGTACCGGAGGCTCTTTCCCAAGCGGTAAATCGGCCGGGGCATGAAAATGACCACTCACCTCCAACTAGTGCCGAGGTCAAGAAAACGTGGATTTATACAGCCACTTCCCCAAACGCCATATGTGGCGTAGTGTTTAATTAGTTAAGCACAGGGACAGATTTATCTTACCTTCAAACAAACATAAGTCATCATATCCCAGAAGAATTGACCGTTAAGAGACAAATCCTTCCCCTGTAAAAATACAAACCCAGCCTTCGGTAAATAACCAATCAATCTAACCATTCATCCATCCTGCTCCCCCTTTACTTTATATTATGTAGAAAAATAACTGAATTTGATATCCATAAAATGTAAAAAGACATGCATTTTGCATACATAAACGTGCTCTAAATTTGCGAACTGTAACAGGTTTATATTTTGAATGTAGGTGTGTCGGACACATAGCTTGACCACCTGTAAGAAACTTGTTTCTCTCTGGCTGAAGTTGTACTGTAAGAGCGGTATGAAACACTGCGCGACCATAAATATACGTGTCACTAATAACACAGTACGTGGAGCAATTTTTGGAGACTAAATTTTTCATATTTACCAAACATTCCGTTCTCATTTTTACGTCTGCTATTTTATTTTCGAGAAGTCTAGGACCGGAAAACAAGAGGACCTAATAAAATGTGGCGCAGGTTTCGAGGCGTTTTTTATGGCAGGTAAACAAGTTAACGGTCAAACAAGACCGCATGCTTATCAATTAAATTAAAACATAATATTATGTTCAGCATAACTCTCATTTCTAGTAAAATATTCTTAGTAATCTTTACTAAAAACATAAATATCTTTGGTTAATATTAATATGCTTTCTATTCTGTCTCACTTCTTATACTAATAGGTTCGCATTGCTCCACTTACGGTATCCCCTGTCCGATTCAAGTCCTGCAAGATGTTATTACAGAACGTCATTGCTGGAAAAGAAAACAAAAAAACAAAAAGTAGAAGAAATTACATACAACTCTTTCGGATGTAAGCAAGTCAATGAAAAGTTGGTGGGAGGTTTGTCGTATATAGATAAGCAGGATTGTAGGATCATACGAAGTCAGTCATTCGTAAGCTTTGCTGTGGGAAGGATCACTCAGTTTTTCGACAAACATGACGGGTTATTTTGTCACATGCTCGGTGACTCTCCTAATAGCTGGAAGTGTGCTTGGTCGGCAAGCAGAGAGCCTTTATGATAATGCTCTTTCGGGAGATGAACCCAGGAGTTTAGCAGAAAACGCAGACGTACCGACATCATTTCTAGGAACCGATTTCCGATTCCTGTTTAGGATCTATAATGATTGTTCGCAGAGGGACATGAGTTCGTGCTTGAAGATGAAACTTGTAACAGCTTTGGATCGGGCACTGAAAAGTCGCTCAGATCTGAAGGTGTTTGAAGGGGTGGCTTTTACCCGTGATCCTTCAGCGATTAGTGATACAAGTGTTAATGGGAATCCGATAAGTGAAGCGGAGCTGGAGGCTAGTCTCCCACGAGGACTCCAAGATAAGGAAGATCTTCTGGATGGACTGATTATGGACAAAATCCTGGCATTCTTCAAAAACCATGTACTTCAATTCAAACTGCCGTCTGCACAAGAATTCCAGAGAAGTCTGGCAGAAGAGGGTAAATAATTTCTGATTTATTTTTTTTTTTCACAATTTATTGTTATTTTACCATGAGGGAGGGACATATATTTTAAGTGGTACACAATTAAAAGCTCAGGAAAATAATTGGACATAAACTAAATAAGTCAGAAAAGATATTACATGACGAAAAATTGCGTAAATTTGTATATGCGATAAAACACTGAACCTTCGTCTAGTGCCGAGGGCAAGAATAGCACAGCTATATTTCTGCTCCCCTATGCGTCTTCATGATGCCGTGGTACTTGATTAACTTAAGCACAAGAGCTTTACTTTACCTTAGATTACCTATTCTTATGAAGCATACGGCCTCCAGATATGGAAGGTAGGTGAAAATATATTGAATAAGCAGTCGCGGACAGCCGACAAGGGGTGCTCCTTCAGCTTGAGAGTTGGGCGTGGGTCTAACAAGTAACTTGTTATGAAATGTCACAAAGGGCCTAGAACTGATTCATACCACTAGGAAGACAAAATGTAGGTGGCTGGATAATATTAAAATGGATCTTAGACTGATGGGGTGGTATGGACTAGATTGATCTGGCTCAGGACAGGGACCAGTGGAGGGTTCTTGTGACCAAGGTAACGAACCTCCGGGTTCCATAAAGTTTTGGGAAGATGTTGGGTAGCTGAGCGACTGGAAGCTTCTCAAGAAGCGCTCAGGTCCACGGAGATAGATTAGCTATTAAAATCTGGGATGTTATGATAGTTTGCGAATGTAGCGAGGATGGGGAACAAGAAATACACACATAACTTTAGTGGAAAACTTCTTTGAAATGACCAGCATGAAGACAAAACCGAAGCCGAAGGGACGATACTGTCACGTGTAAGGGTGCGTGCGTGCCGCGGGAAAGTGTTTACCGAGTCGTTACGTAGCAACTGATGTCTCATCCGATTTCACTGTTCCGGATTTCGGGAGTCATATCATAATATTAAGAAGCATATTAGGGAAGTGGGCTTTGGAGACGGGAGTACCCTGGCTCAGAAATATATCCAGTTTCGGATTTTGGTACTAACAGAGTTAATTACAATTATGATAACAGCTCTCTTCTTGAATATCATCACCGTGTAGTTCGGGACAGAGGTGCCAACTTCTCAGAGGAAACTGTCCGCTCCATATTAAGGGCAGACTAGTATTTTTAGCCTATCTTACTTATTCGGAAAAACAGGAGGAGGTTTATGTGATCACCGTGCTGTCTGTGTATCCGTCTGTGTCTGTCCATCTGTCTGTGTGTGTTTCCTTAACATTTAGGCTTATACTATAGCCTTTGTATGTGTGCTTATCCTACCTTATCGATGCTAGGCAACGGTTCGTGTGAGTATGTGTGTGTCCCTTAATTTGTTCGTTTTCTATGCGGTCCGTGTCGTATAAAAGCAAAGTAGGTGATTAGTTCTTCCACAGAGCTTCTTGTTCTATGAAATGAAGGTCATTCGGAGGACAACAATTTTAATAGTTAAAGATTTTTTTTTAAGTCAACGTCAGTCTTGAACTAGTTTCAAGGTGTTACATTTCTGGTATAACGTACCGGTTAAACCAGTCCCTTACTTAACGGAATGTTGGGATATGACTTAATAACCAGAACTTCCAGCTACACCGTTATCTCGAAGCAAGGCGAAACCTTCTCACAATCAGAACATCATTCTGGGAAACAAGTTTATTGAAACTACAAGAATAACAATAACAATAATATATATTTGCTATAATACATATATATTCATATTATAATCTTCTGGGATATGCCTCCGTGTAGCCTGGTACCAAAGTCCATCGTTAGGGAAGAACTACTTATTTATCCTACTTTATTTCTATTCCCTTTTCTTTCCTTCTCCCTCCTTCTTTATCGGTCTTATCCTCTCTCTATCCCTTTTTCTTCGTCTTATTCTTATCCTACTTCTTTTCTTCTCATTTGTTATGTTCCTATTTCATCTCGCTCATTTCTTTCCGTCCCTTCACCTCTTTCTTATTTGATTTTTTTGTTTTCTTTCTGTTTTCAGACTAATCTTTCATTTTTTCAATCCCTCCTCCTTCTTCATGTTTTCTGTAGCACGAATTTATTGCGTCATCACACAAGGAAAATGTAGAAGAGAATTCCCCAGCCTCGTCTCTTTCTCGCCTTCCTGCCAATTTACAGCGTAACATATCCCTGCATGCTGTTCTATCTTCTGGGATACAGCAATGTGCAGTCAGTTAAAAGTCAAGCGACGTTTCAGAGCAACTGTGACCAGCATTTTTATATATTACTTTGAAGAAATTCCATCTTCAAGTTCCTGAGCCGGATGAAAGCTCCCAGAGCCGTTAGACAGTACACAACCCATGCCGGATCCACTGCAGCTATTTATAATACGAGATCAGGTTATGTCAAAGGGAGATAACACGATAATATGCAATAAAAATTGTGATAAAGAACGAATATTCGTGGAACTATGATTGAAAGGGAGGAAGAAATTTATGCTACAAACCTAGACAACAAAAAAAGTTCATGAACACCAATGCAACGGAAACAGATCCGGTTTCCGAAATGTTGTGTTTTCTAGTCTCTATAATACCGGACGATGGGTAAAGTCCGAAAACCCAGCTAATTCCGAGTTTTGTAATACGCCGCACACCATCGCCAGAATCCTTTCGAATCCACTATTATAGCAACTGTTTCGCCTTAAGAACAAACGGACTAAATGAAGTAAGACAATATTGTCGGGGCACGCGGTAGCGTATTTGGTTGAGGCACTACGCTACGAGCCGTAAGGTCGTGGTTTCCATTCCCGATGAGGGTACTGGATTTTTCAATTTAGCTAATCTTTCTAGTCGCACTGCGGCCCTAGGATCGATTCAGTCTCTAGCAGAAATGAGTACCACGAATGTTCCTGGGGGGTAAGGGGCAGCCAGTGCGTAATGGTGACAACCTCGCCGCTATGTGTAAGACTACTGTCTAGAAAATATGGGAGCCTCGACGCCTCACAACTCTCTGGGCCTCCATGGCCTGTTACAGGGATACCTTTACTTTATTTCACAATGTTGTCTTGTGTTTCTTCCAGGTCGGAGGAGAAGAAGGGGCTCCGGGATGTATATCCTTTTCCCTATACTGATCCTGGGGACCCTCGTTCCCTTGGCCCTGGGAAAACTGGCGCTCCTCGCCGGCAAGGCCTTCATCATCAGCAAGCTGGCTCTGGTTTTGTCAGGGATCATTGGACTCAAGAAGCTGCTTGGAGGTTCCGATGGAGGGCACCACGAATCCTCATACCAGGTTGTGTCTGCGCACGGTAGCAAGCGCAGCTTCGAAGACCCTCATCTGTTGGCTTACAGGAGCTACGCCCCCTCGTGAGAAGTACCTCGCGTCATATCTTCCATGCCACGACCTAATATCGTCCCAGCGAAGAGAAGGCGAGGCAAGTTGTGGGTAGAAGTGGTAAACGTTGAACATTCTACTCTTCATTTTCAGTATATCAGTAGGAATGGTAAGGGTTGTACGAAAATGATGCCGATGTTTTCAGTTTGCTCAGTACACGAGCACGAAACTGGCCCGACTTCTATTCAATGGAGTATGTTATAAATATAATATCCCTTATACTTGTATTATCCCTTCATTCATTGAGTTTGAAACAAGAAGAGACATTTCTCCGCAAGATTAAAAGTAATTGGAAGAAACAAGTAGGCAAGATATTATGAAGAGTTTTATCTTCAGTCCTGATGAAGGTAGGCGATATTCCTCCGAAACGCTGGATGACTTTTACCGGACTACACGGCATTACAAGGACTCGTTACTGGTTGGACGACCGAGAGGTAGAAGTTCGAGTCCCGGTAGGGTCAAGAATTTTCCCTTCTTCCAGTCGTCCAGACCGGCAGTGGGACTCACCCAGCGCGAAGCTGACCACTCACCTCCAACTAGTGCCGAGGTCAAGTTAACGTAGGTCTATATATATACTCCCCCATACGCCTTCATGGCGTAGTGCTTAATTAGTTAAGCACAGGGACAACTTTATCTTTTCTACACGGCATTACATCCCGTAAGAGAGAACTCTTCAAGATATTATGAAGTTTCAATAAGTCCAAGAACACATTCACGTGCCTGATAAGCGGAGATGAAAAGTTTCCACGGTGCCTAGAGATGAGGTTACGGATTTGTTAACGATAAATATATCTTTAACTATTAGGCATTTATTGTAAGGATATCTCAAAACATGTATTTCACAGATAACCTGGAACTAACAGAATATTCACGGATTAACAGCATTTCGCAGAACGAGTTTATAAACCTGAGTATATATATATATATTTTTAATCCTGCCAATTTCGAGGTCAAAACTGACGCCATGCTAATATGCTGACTGGCTTGACGTGTCGCATATCTCAGGGGCTGTGAAGATGAATATAAGCTTCGTGGAATGATGACGCGCAATAATCCCAATTACTGAGCAAAACCTACATTCATGGAAACATAAATATAAGCATGAAATGCACTGCAATGAAGCCCGTACCTTTCTAGCATCTATATGCTTGAGGAATGGTATATTTATATAAAAAATAAAATACAATTATATATTGAAATATATGTTTTATAATTTATTGTAATTTTAAATGTATTGTACAAATCAGCCTAAGTATATTTTTACCTGTAAGCTATGTTAGTTAACTTAAAATGTATGTATTTTTTACCGGTATTGTTTGTTATATCCGATATTTATTTTTAATAAATATAATTCTTGTTGATAAGACAAAATATTTAAGACAAGTCACGTCTGAGAAAGGGTATATTTACCGACTGCAGTAATAATATTCTGATTCTTCAATAAATTCCCGTTCAGTGCCTCCCCCTGCGCCAAACTCCTACATGGGCCTGTTATACCACTACCATCTTCTCACTCCGTTTCAACTAGTAAGACGTCTGTAAGGTAAATGTTATATTGCCCTTCTGCTTAATTAATTAAGCATCACTAAACGAACATGTATGGGAGAGTGGAGGTATAGCTCCATCATTCTTGACCTCGATACCAGATGGAGGTCAGTGGTCAGCTTCACGCCCCTGTCACCTTACCCCGGGGAAAACAGTCACCGATACGCAATGGCTAGGAGGCCGGGTGGGCCTCAGAGCCGGTGCGGACGCTGTGAACATAAAAATTCCTTAGCCCTTCCAGGAATTGAACTCGGGCCGTCCAACCCGTCACTATATCGATTGAGCCATCCAAGCTCCTAAACTCCTCTTCCGAGACCGATAAATCCAGTCCACAACTTGTCACCCAATTTATTTAAGATCAATTTTAATATTATCTTCATATCTACGCCTAAGTCCTCGAGTGGTTCATTTTCCCAGGGATCTCAGATCAGAATTTTGTATTTCCCATCTCTCTCATCCTCACTGTGCCGTCGGCCCATGTTATCTGTTTCATCAACGTAATAACATTTTCTACCATGGGTAACGCAGGCGACTTCCCTGGGAGTAAATCGGCCGGGACGTGAAGCCGACCCTTACCTACATCTAATGCCGAGATCAAGAATGATGGCGCTTTACCTCCACTCCCCCATACACCTTCATGGCTCGTTCTACAAATCATCATGCAATTAGAA